AAGAAGAAGAAGAAGAAGAAGAAGATGGGCGGAAGAGGAGGAGGAGGAGAGAAGAGGAAGGAGAAGAAGATGAGGGGGAGGCAGGGGAGGAGAGAAGACGAAGAAGAAGAAGAAGAAGAAGAAGGGAGCAGTTTTCTTTTTTTTTTCTTACCTGTCGTTTATCTCGCGACCTATCGCTGACGAATGGAACAACAACAAAAAAAAAAAAAAAAAAGATAGTCGGAAGAGGAGGAGAAGAAGAAAATTGGGAAAAAACGAACAGCATAAAAAAACTGTCCCACGGAGGGCAGATAATCAACAGATTACTACCATACACCGTCAAAAAACCACACGCGATCCTCGACGCGTTTCGGCTTGTGCGTGCACCAAGCCTCATCAGGAGGAATGACATCGATCATCTCCTTCATCCTTATATTCCTTCAATCTCCCCCTCTTTCCTCTACCCATCCACCTTCTCTCCCTGTTCCCCTTACCTACTGCCCAAGCCCATCCCCGATGTCCACGATCGTTCGCGTCAAGATCCGGCATCATGTCCCCGTATTGCATCATCCCGAGTCGGAGCAGTAAACCCGAAGCACTTGGCGTTCCACAGGCGCTGATGCACGTGGTTCCTCATGCCAGCAAGAGGCGGAAGAAGGAGCAGCTCCCTTCCATAAATGCATGCACTTACAAGTGTGCCTCAATAGTTGGTGCCCAAAAAAACCCCGTTCCTGTACCGGAACGAATTCCCGCCCATGGATCCCGGTGGGGCTTCGAACCAACAGCGCCCAAAAAAAGAAGAAAAGTACCTGACCAGGCCCAGTGCCCATATTCGTGTGGGATACAAGTAGAAAATTAAAATTAAAAATAAAAATAAAAATAAAAATAAAAGCCAGCCCAGTACCAAGCCTTGCTGCTCGGGCAGGTCCATTCCCCCAACGGTTAGGGAGCCTGCCGTACTCTGGGCCCAAAAAAAGAGATATTCCCACAGATGAAAAAATTCTATTTTCCTATTTTCCACTTTTTTTAATTCTCCCGTAGCCGCAGCCGTGTGCAAAATAGCTGGGCGCGACAGGCCCTACATCCAAGTTGGCACTCACAGACCCATTAGGAGGTTACACCCAGGCCACTCAACTACTATACATCCTCAGGTGGGAGTAAACCTGCGAGATCCGAGATCTCCAGGGACCACCCACCACCTCGGCAAACCTTGCCAAGGATGCAAAGAAGAAGAAGAAGAAGAAGAAGAAGAAGAAGACGAAGAAGAAGAAAATGGGCGGAAGAGGAGGAGGAGGAGAGAAGAGGAAGGAGAAGAAG